TCTCTCTCTCTCTCTCTCTCTCTCTCTGTGTCTCTCTCTCTCCATGTGCCTGTGATGCACTAGGATGTGCAAGCTGGAACTGCTCACATAACCAGTTACGTCTAATCTCTATCTCAGAAGACTTTAGAAAAGATTGCTGTGTGCTTGGAGTCAAGATTGAAGTCCTTGGAGGCAAATGTAAGCTTTGAACATTTTTTCATTTCTCTGTTACATACACTCAATAGTCCCACTTCTACTTGTAGATGACTGTTATTGTGCTTATATGCTTCTCTTTACCCTAATTCAATTATCATTTTTTTAAAAGAGCAAATGGTGTAGGTGGTTTTAGGGCTCCTCTGGTAGGTCCTACTTCTTTTCTTTTCCTCAATTGTTCGTCTCAGTGTCTTGTTTCTTTTCTGCTGTGCATTACTAGTGTTTTGTGGATGTGTTCTTCTTTATTCAATCGAACAAACAAACAGACAAACAAACGAATAAACAAGAGCAAGTGGATTTAAAAAGTAATAGTAAAGTAAGTAGGAATCTTTCCGTATTCAGCAATCAGAATTTACCTTGAAAGTTATCAAAAGTTTATCTTTTGATCTAGCTTTGATCTAGCCGACTCTGTCCTAGCCTACTGACTGCTTAGCGTAAGACTCTGCCACGTGCCATTTTGAAAAGTGACACATGACTGAGTTTTGCGCTGAGCAGTCAATATGGCTTTGAAATTATTTTGCTAGGTTGGAGAGGCTTCATCCCTGATGTGTCCTGATTTCAAGTCTTTTTGCTCCTGACTTTTTACCTTCTTCTGCACCTCTTCTGTCCTCAGCATACTTCAGTCTCCTTATGGTCCCTTTAAGGGAGCTTTAGGATCCTATGTTTCCGTTGCCATGAAGTTACTGGTTTTCTTACCAGAGTCTGTGGTGTAGTGGTAAAGTGCTTTGCTGTTGCACTCGGAGACTCAAACTCGATTCTAGAGTGGGGAGAATTTATAATGGAATATCTGTCTTTCTATTGGGATGATGTTATATCCTTCTCAGCCCGGGTTGCTCATAACAAGTAGGGTCGGAATCCAGCCTCAAGAATGATCTCTATTCTGATAGATAGGGTGGGAACAAGAAACTTGGGAAAGTCGATACTTATAGCTTCACTTGCATGTGTACAGGAGCAGTTGGACTGAGCCATACTAAAAGGAGATTTATAGAGATATGAAGCCCACATGGAAGCTGTGGCCTAGGTCTGTATGGTCACCTGGTCTTGTGGAGACTAAATCGGCCGTTCAGTTATAAAGAATGATGGTGTGTGTACTTATTTAGTGAGATTTATTGGAGTGCAACGACATGAAAAGTGACTGGGGCATAACATATTTGCACGATCTGTTGTATTTTATTTTCACCACTACAACCTTTGTTTGTTCTTTGAATTGAAGAAAAGTTTTTTGACTGACATAATTATTAATTTTTTTCACCTCTTACAACCTAGCAAAGATATCAGGAAGAAGGGATGAAATATTGCTTTACAATGTTTTTAGTGGGTCTTTATCATCATAGTGTTGTTTTAAAGCATGCCAACTCCTGCTATAGCTTTAATTTTTTTTGTTTCTCCAGGTTTCAAATCAGAATGGAGGCATTTCACTGAGTGATTTAAAACGACTTGAGACCAGTGAGTTTTCATATGTCTACTTGTATTGTTTACTCAAGCAAATTTAAAAAGTTGTTGTTGAGATTGAAGGGTAGATGAAGTCAAAGTACTGTAGATGTATAATTGTATCATGTGTGTAAAAAGAATAGGAAATAAAGAGGTAAGAAAATTGAGAAATAAATCTAGTCTGAGCTCTTGGATTGACAATAGACCATACACCTTGCTCTTCTTTTGTAGTGAACGCTGCGTGCTGCTTACCATCTTGTTATATTAGGGAAATTACTGGCATTGTTTGCATTTTTGTAGTTTTGTTGATAAATAGGTTATTTGAATTTAGAAGTTTAATAGAATTGTGTGTAGTGTGTATATTTTTTGTTTTCTATAATATACAGCTAATATTACATCAACATTTGTGGTAGAACAAGCACATGTTATAATACTCTACAGGGAGGTACAAATTAGGGTTTGAGGTCAGGAATTTGAATGTTAGTTAAGGAAAGGGATACAGTGAACCCCTCCTGTACTCGCTCTCCTCTTGCCCTGTCCCCATGTTGGTTAGGTAATGCCTTATGCTTCCATTCCTTCACCACTAATCCGTTTTTTTCCCCCAGCATTGGAAAACTTGTTGGGAGTGCAGAGTTCCGACACAACACAGAAATTCCCTGTTGATGTGTCTTTGGCAACAGCTCAGCTTCACCGTCTTTCAGTCACTAGGTGGGGTAGTGATCTTCTAAAAAAAAACCCAAACTAACCAAGTTTTGTGATTTTGCTCCTTTTGCTACTCATGCACTACATGTATGTACCTGCGGCAGGTTATTCCAAGTGACAAGGTTTATACCACGACCTTTGTGTAATGTTATTACAGTGAGGTGTTGAAACAGGAGAGGACAAACTTTGCTTCTCCCAGACCAAATGCATCTGAGTTATGATTAACATCTTTTCTATCCGTAACTCTTAGTGTCCGGCTTGCCACCTTATGTGGCGCATTTAACGTAGCCAAAATGCCGGCACGCCACTTCATGTGGCTCTCTATGTCACCTAATATTCTGGGGATTTGTGTAAAAACTACACCGTCTACGGAAATCTTCCTTCTTAGAGATCACTTTAGAACGGAAGTACGCTGTTTTCGAACGCAGTTTGTGGTGTTTGGAGGGAATTTTTCAGTGAATTTCTTGTGAATTTTTCAGTGCGAATTTGTCAGCTCGTTTGTTTATTATGGATGCTGCCAATAATCCGACCTCGATTGTAGCGATAGTGACTCGGATGGGAACGATGTCATAGGCAGAGATGAGTCTTCGAGTGAGTCAGACCTTGATGAACCCAGTCCGTCAAATTCAACTTGTGATTCCAGTAGAGGGGCGTGTCCTTCTCGGGGTAAAGGGAAGGGGCCTGGTAAAAGAAAGGGAGCTGGTGGTGGGAGCAGAGAGAGGTCAAGATCTCCCCTTCTCAGGCCTAGTACTAGTACTGGAAATGGAAGAGGAGACGCAGAAGTAGGGAACAACTGGAGACAAGTGAATGACGGGGCTACGGCGAATAGTTTTCAGTTTACACCCCCGAGAATAGGAGTTGATTGGGAGCTTGTGCCACAAGGTTCTTCTCCTATCCACTGCTTTTTGGCACTGCATACAACAACAATTCTCCGTGGCCTGGTGACAACTATCAACGAGTACGCACAGCATAGATGTGCAGAGCTTTGGGAAACTGCGAGTGGAAGATCTGTTTTTGTAACATGGACAGACATCTCGCTTGGTGAGCTGTACAAGTTTTTTGCCGTCGTTATTTCGATGGGTATAGTCACAAGCCGAGCATTCACAGCTACTGGTCAAATGAGCCATATCAGTGCACACCGTGGTTCAAGAAAATGTTCACGCGCAACAGATTACAAGCAATTTACCACACGATGTTACATGTTTGCGAGGTTGGAGCTGAAGGAAAAGCGAAGATTGAACCCTTTGTAAATTGTTTGTTACAACAGTTTCAAGCCGCATACTACCCAAAGAAGAATCTCTCCCTCTATGAAATGGTTATTGGCTGGAAGGGCAGGTGGGCACATAGAATGTTCAATACGTCCAAACCAAAGAAATATCACGTGAAGACTTTCGGTTTATGCGAGAGTGAAAGCGGATACGTCCTAAATTTGCTAATTTATTTTGGGGCTAACACCTCGCTTGACCCTCGCCATCATGATGCTCATCAGGCATAAAAGCTTTTTAGCACTCTGCTGTCACCTCTGTCACCTGGACACCACCTGTTTGCAGGCAGGTACTACACCAGCTATCCCCTGCTGAAATATTTATCAAGCGAGAAATTTTATTATACCGGGACTGTAAATATAAATCGATGTGGCTTCCCGCCTGAGCTGAAAACAAACAGGCTGGCTTTCAGAGAAACGAGGTGGTTCATGCAGGATACAAAGTACCTGTGTGTAATGTTTCGAGACAAAAAAGCAAAGAAACCATGTGTCTTGGTATCTAGCGAGGCACAAGTACGTGCAACTGAGGTGAAAGGGGTGGACAAGCCGGTTGTAATTCAAGATTATAATAAAAACATGTACGGCTGTGATAAAATTGATCAGATGGTCCAGACCTATGGTACCTTCAGTAGAAGAACAAGAAAGTGGTGGAAGAAGATTTTTCTTTGGATCTTTGAGATCACACAGATCAACGCTTTTATACTTTATACCTAATCTCAACTTGAAGGTGCCAAGAAGCTTCCGTTCCTGAAATTCAAAACGAAGCTCATTAATGAGCTGTGCAACCTTGCGACACGACATCTGGCTGAGATACAAGAGAATAATGACAACAGAGGTCATGCCCAGCCAGAAAACCCCTTGAACAGGGTCTGCAACAGCTCACATGTCATTGTGAAGTCAAAACTGACCCGTGAATGCAGAGTGTGTTGTAGCACGTGCGAAAAAAGGGTAGGGGCTTCATTCTTTTGCAACAGGTGTGACAGCCAGCCATTTGTGCATCCAAATAAATGTTTTCAGCAATTCGATTCATCAATGTAACTGGGGTTGTGAACTGTACATAGTGTAATTCTTTTTTAAAGAGTTCTTATCCACTGGTGTGGTGTTTGTGCTTTTTTACCTGTATTTAAGTGACTTATTTCAAAGTTACAAAAACTTTTTTGTGTGCATCAGAAACCTCTGAAACTTTCAACATGAACTGGGAAATGGACATACTTTCATTTGATATACTGTTTCAAGCATTCTGAACGGATTATTATCTACCGTGAATACATGTAAGTCGAAAATACGTTGATTTTTTCTTCTTTTTCATCAATTTCTTCCTCCTTCAAGCCACATATCTCTTCTCTCATACCTGACATATTTTTTTCTTTACCATGGTTGAATTGCTTGTTCATTTCTGAAAATTTTGATTTGTCATACAATTACACAGATAAAAAAATAAGAAAGTTATCATCATTTTACCACGGCCCCCTAAAAATCACAAAAATGGCTGCGTAAAAAGGTGGAATAGGCCCGCATACACTAAGAATTAATGAATAATTTGAATGGAAAAATTATCCACGCCTCCCCCAGACGAAATTGCATCTGAGTAATGATTAACATCTCTTCTGATATGCTGTAAATGAAACATTACTGTAACCTTAAAATAGAAAAATTACCCTCAGTCTGGTTGTTCCTTGTATGTTGTACCATAACTTTGTAAACAATGTTTTGCTTAAATATAGCACATTTTAGTGATAGGCACAATTTTTTTGCCAAATCGAAGTTTCATGTTCACTGTGTCTTAGAAATAGATTATGTATCCAAAGATTACCTTTTGCGTATTTGTGTTGTGCTTACAAAATGCTCTCCTTCATATGTAGGTTGGATTAAGAAAATGTATTCTTACATAAAATGGAATGAAAGGGGAATTAGTAACCAATTACACATTATGCTTAAACTTATGATTTCATTGTTTGTTTTGTAATGTCCACAGTTTGGATACAGATGCAGATAAAGATGAACCTCACAGAGGTCAGTGCTCTGTTCTTTTCTGTACTCCTGTACTTATGTGTGAGCGTTCAAAGGATTATTAAAACAGAGCATTACTATTTTGGGTTCCTCAGACTATTCGGGGTTTCGTTTTTGGGTTTGTTTTTTTTTGTTCCCTTGTTTTAAGGCTCTTCAGATGTCCAAGCATATAAAGCCCAACAATTTAATAGAAAAACTGCTCAAGTTGATCTTTCCATCAATATTAGTTCCTTCTTCTGTACTCTCTTAACTTTAGCTACTGAATTTGTTCAACTGAAGATTAAAGAAAATATTTCTCTACATGAAATGTAAATTGTCATTACTTTCCAGTGAAATATGTGTGTGTGTGTGTGTGTGTGTGTGTGTGTGTGTGTGTGTGTGTGTGTGTGTGTGTGTGTGTGTGTGTGTGTGTGTGTGTTCAGGTGAGTAATTCAAATGTTTTTCTTTTGTTTTATTTCCTTTTTAGCTATTTTATTAGGTAAAACAAATTTTAAAAAAATTTAATTAATTAAAATTGAGCCAAGCATCATTTCGATCTTTGTAAAAATTAGTTTGTGTCTTTACGTAGAAGTCATTATGATAATATCAGTCATTGGTCACACACAAGAAGTTGTGTAAGCATAAAAACCATTTCAATATCTTTCTTGTGACCCATCACTGCTTACTGAGTTATTTGTTGTTTTTGTTTCAGGTAACGGCACTGTGTTACCCCGGCCACTTCCTGTCAGTGGTATGACGTTACTCACAGTGACATTGGACAACATAGGGCTGAAGGATGCAGGCCAATATCTGGACCCATTTATTTCTGTCTCTGTCAGAGGTAAGGGGTGCGTTATTTATGCCTTATTATAGAACCTGAAAGTATTCGCTATACTGCATGCAGTAGAGTCCCCAGTGCTTCCACTCTTTCGTATTTTTACGCAAATCCGTACTTTCTGCCAGTTCCGTACTTGTTCCTCCATCATTATCAACTCCCTCTGTAAAAAGCTGCGACAACGTAGGACTACCGAAATTCCGTAGCAAAAGATCCGTACTCGCCTTCGTATTGTCTGGTACTAGTATAAGTTACGAATATTTACGGTAATTCTCTCGGCAATAAGTTATGTTATAGAAACCTGCCAGATTTGCGCATTTCCTGCAATCGGCCATTATACCGCTAAGCCCCATGCATTCTTTGCGGGCTTGTCTACAGTACATTTTTACCTGTGAATTGACCAAAATCTGGCGAACTTTTTGTGCCAATTTCCTCCTTTCTATCATTCACTCATTCTGTATGTCTGTCTTCGGCTTGTTCCCGCGGCTGGAAAATCTGTGCATTGATCAAATAAATTGACTTGTGGTCGTAGACAGAAAATTACTGTCAGAAAGAAACTTTTTTACAAAATTTGTCTAGATGTAGAGAAATGATCAATACGAAGATTCTACGGCATGGGAACGCGATAAGGGTCGCGATGAAAGAAATTTATGCTAAAACTGCGAAAGTCAAGAATAATTTGAAGTGGTGTTCGGAGGTTGTGACATGCGACATTCAGGTGTGAAATTTAAGGAAAAATAGGGTATAAGCTGGGTAACTGTATTGTGAAGGTATTCATTATTCCCAGGTTTGCCTTCTATCAATGGTGCGATAACAAATTAATTGAATTTTAGTAGCAATGGAAGGGGAACCTGTTTTTAAACATTACCATCAATGGAAATATATTTTGTAGATCTTGGTGAAGAAATTAAACAAGACAAAATGTTGGTGAAAAAATAAATGTTATGATTTGCAGGAAGTCTCCTCAAACAGGCTCCCAAATGCCATTTTCAACCCTCTAAAAGCTTTCAATTTCAATTTCTTTGGGGGCACAGCCCCCGCAACCCCCATCGGGACGCTGTCCCTGGACCCTGCTGTGCGGCCCCCAGACCCCCTGCGAAATTTTCCGCTTTTCAGCTTCAGCTGGTGGAAGCAGTGAGTCCCGTCATATCTTTACTGGTTGAAAGACAGCTAACAAAAAACTTTTCTTCACACTAATTTTCGTGTTTGTTCAATATAGTATGTCAAGAGGATGATAAGTATAAAAAGAAATGTTGCTGAGGATTTCAAACAGTACAATACCTGACAGATTTTCATGCCACCTTGCTCTTCTCGACAGCAAATGTAATATTTTTGTCAATGATGAATCTGCAGCTCATGCAGCTACATTGTTTAAGTGGTAAAAGAATAGGTGATTGCTCAGTTGATATCAGCATATTGAGTTCCAATGTGATGATCATGGTTTAAATCTTCTGCTGGGATAATAATTTAAGAGGCGGACTTCTGACCCTGCCTGCCAGGGCCAACCCAGTCTGAGAGGGATATAACATCCTAGTGGAAAGACCAAGATACTCGATAAAAATTTCCTCCCCACCAAACCACGACACTAAAGACACCGGTACATCATACAGGATAGCAAAATAATTTTCTAGGAAGTGAGAGACAAGTGTTTTTGTTTTAGCTTATTATTGTGTAAAATCAGGTCACTTCACAAATTGATATTACTACATCGATATTATTACCTATCTTTTCTCTAGCATCTGACGGGAAAGCTTTAACATGCCGTCAGGACACTCCTGTTGCTCCTCGCAAGACAGATTCTGCCATTTTCATCAACTCAGTTGTTCATATACAGAAAGCTTTGGAGAGTCTACCACCAGGCAAGTGTTGTTGCTTTTTCCTCTCAGTAATGGAAATTCATTGAATGTGATACTTTTATGGTGAAGGCATCAGTTTCTCTAGTATTGTGAGTTGTCATTTTGCAGTTGATATTCCCCATTTGAACAAAGTGGTCTTTTGCATGAATTGTCAGCAGATGTGAGATTTGCCTGAAAAATCCTTGAAGAGTTCATCAATTGCACCCTTTGAATTGCCTAGGGTGCCTCTTTTAGTACAGTGCAGCACAGATAACTCAAAAAGGTCAGGTATTGACAAACGTGTTTGATTCTTCCGTAATATGGATAAAGCGAAAAATTAAAGATATATTCATGAAAATCAGAGGAAGTAACTGTGATGATACAGTGGTCATAAAGTAAATCACTGTAATGGATTTAATGTAGCAGATTCGCCGCACACGGCTGTTTTGAGTGATAGTGCCATGGATTTTTTAAAACCTGTCCAACCATCTTGTGTTGCATGTGAAGTCAAAGCCAAGTGGTAATGACTTCCCTATCCATACTTTCATATTCAAACAACCACACACACACACATGTTCACAAACACAAACATAATTCACACACAGTTCAAACAGCACCATACTGTCTGTCTTTGATTACACCCTGCTACCCGGCACCCACCCTTGGATCATTAGATTGAAGGAAGGTCAAGGGCCTAACGCTTACAAGCCTACAGGTAATGTGCGATGGAGCGTCTCGATACCAGCAGTGTGTGTATCATGCTCTGAGGGGGCGGGCCTGATGAGCTCCTGTAACCTAAGACTCTATGATGATGGGCAAATTGAATTGGAGGCAATTGTGAGGAAATATTTGATTTTATTTTCCTAGACGAGTTATTTGACAAATTTGTACTGGTATTTCGAGAAAATCATTGCAAATACAAAGAAAATACAGGTATGGCAGTTCAATCGGGAAGTAACATATTATACAGTAAGAGGTATCTGTGATTTTGAGTTTTAAGGGTTCTTGTTATATGTGCCCAACTGCATTTAATTTATTTATCTCCCCAGGGTTTGCGATTTTCTTTGAATTCAATCACTTCAAACCGAAGAAATCTATGAACAGTACCAAATGTTGGTCTTTCATGGAGCAAGATGAAATCAAAGAGGGAGCTTTGGCTTTAGAATTGTGAGTTTGTTTTTTAGATTTAATATTCATTTTTTTAAAATCCATGCAAGTCCGTCATGTGGGTTCATTTTGCTAGTTTGTTTTGTGATATCCATGATATTGTTGCCAGTTATTTTCCAACTCTGATTACCAAGTTATTTCCAGTGGTTGAATCAGTCTTCATATCTATCAATAGGAGCTAGAAATTAAATTTTCAGAGAAGCTATATGTCAAATTTATCTATTCCATTTGAAAGGCCTATATCTCCTGAGAATTTTGGTACCATTCTTTAACCTCTCAGTTGATTTTTAAGAAAATGGTAGCTGTTCAAAATTTTGTCAAATTTGTTGAAGTCGCTCTCTGGCTGCAACCCCATGTTTGACAGATAATAAAAGAGTACGGTACCAAGGGCACCAAACATCTCCACATTAACTGAGTACAATAACTATAACATAGATATGGAGCCTAATTTTTTTCAAGACTGTAAGACCATTACATATCAGTATTTTATAGCCGCAAACACAATGATCTGTCGTTATTTCGACAAAAACACAGAGTCCTGTCCTGGCCAGCGCCCTGCCAGCCCCCCGCGGCGAGGAGTCGACTCTATACTGTAGTGTACTGGGGGGTCACATGCTTTTTGAGTTTCGCGGAAGGATTGATGAAAAATAGTTCCGAGCCGATTACTTTATCCTAATAGAAAATGAACTGATCTTTCTATTGATACCTTTTTTAAGCCGGTATTTTACATATTTTGTGTAAAAAATTATCTTTGAAAACTTTGACGGCATTTGTAAAGTCTTTCTATCAAACGCCATAGGCCAAATATGTACCAAGCGAAAGCCTGTCCAAAGCTCTACAGTTCTCCGCCAATGAAAAGACGGTATTTAATCCTCAATCTTTCCGCGAAGCATTTGAATGCATGCGTGTCAATTTTTGAACCGGTCGACCTCGCGTTCTGACCGCGAGGGGCTTCGCTTCCCACGGCAATTTTCCAGTTCCTAATAATCGGACATATAAACAACTTACACCTTTTAACAAGGAAAAGCAGAACTTTTACAAGGTGTACAGCGTTTGGTGTTTCATAGCGAAAGAACAAAGAAACAGCGATCTGAATTACCCCGATTTCACGGATACCACGCGCTCGGAAGGCCGTGAGTGCCCGCGAGGCCGTGTTTACGCTACCTACTATCAATCAGAACTCATATTTTGATGGGAAGTAGTCCATTATGCTCAACAGGAAATTATTTACTTATTCATGTATTGCAGGTTTACCAATGTCCCAAAATTTCCAAGGATTGTCCTGGAGTTGACAATCTGGAATTTTCACTGTGACGATAACCTTATCATGTACACTTCACCAGAACCAGCCCCAGGATTGATAACATCAACAAACAACCAGAACCAGCCCCTCTTGATATAACTTTGTATTACGTTATAACTTTGGGTGTCTCTGCTTTTGAAATAGTTGGCAAGCCTGCTGTTGCATGCAAGAGGAGCTTGTACTGACCCCGATGGCCCTTCCTTTACTGAAGCATATTTAGAAACTATGGGGACATCTTAGTTTCTTGCTTGAAGAGCAGGTGGCCATTTTCAGAGAGAAAAAAAAATGAAATAAAAACAACAAAAAACCCAACACTTACTGGACTTGAAGTGGTTTATAAAACGCTGAAAGGTGAATCTATGCTTGCTGGGTAAACTCCCATAGTGGATTAGATTATATATAGAGACAGACTCAAGACTTGTGACTCAGTCAATTGCCACAATATGTGCAGGTTTATTTTTTCAAAATAAGTTTGTCACAAAGTTTAGTAAAATTTTTACACTTTTAATGATTTATTGGATGTACAAATTTCTCCAAAAAAGTTTTCTCATCTCTGATTTCGGTATGATTTTTGCTTTGGAATTCTAAAGAATAAACGTTGTGCTCGAAATGTGTCTTATTTCTCTGTGGTGTCTATCATTAATATTTTGGCTTTATGTTTTTCCGTTTAAGAGAGAAAAGGGCAGTAATGTTGATGAATTTGAGTGAATAGATGTTCCAATTGTAATGATGCTGATTTTATTCATGCTTATTTCATATCTTTCTACTTTTTTTTTTTTTTACAGATACAAGAAGCCAACAGATTTCCATCGCAAGTCCTTGAAATTGTTCACAGTGAAGCCCCTGTACTTACACTTAAAACTAAGTTTGTTCAGCTGACAAAAATTATGAGATTATTTGATTTGAATATTAAGCTCTGTCACTTACTTCTGTGGCATAAAAGACAAAGACGGGAACATCAGACCCAAGTCATTGACCCCTCCATTAGGAGTGCCTTATCATTTTATGGTCCTTAGTGTTTGTCTCATAGCTCAGCTATTCCTAGCCAGATCTATCATGTCTGCGCTTGGGGAGTGTCAGAATGTTGAAAGTATTTAATTTTTTTGCTCCTCATTTGTTTGAACTGATGTCATGGAACATGACTTGTTTACACTTATAAGGGGGTTATGAATTTGTTTGAGTCTATGAGAAGGATGTGAATGCAATATTGGTATTTTGCTTTATGGGAAGTTAAAATAATGCGCATGTTGCTGAAAATTGTGCTCCCGCATCATTCGGAACCATAACATTTGTAGTTAAATTTAAGGGGGAAAAAAAGTAACTTTCTTATGTTATAAACTTTTTAAAAAGGGAGAAGTTACTTTGCATCAAAAAAAAAAGTTACTTCAACTATGAATGTGCTCGTAATATTTCGTCTGTTTGGGATTTGGTGGTGGCGGGGGGGGGCTTACAACTACCTACGCAGAAACACGTGACTCATTTTGCTGCCAAGTATTTTTGAGGGTTGGCAAAACAGATTCGTAGGAGTAAAGAAATATCTCACTCAAAATGTCTGTCAGTTATATTGTTCTTAATCAAACACTAAAGAGAAACGATGGAAATTGCCTTGTCCAGACAGGACTAAGTAGGGATGCTATGCGTCTGAAAAGTTCAAGGTAAAAATTAATTTATTTGTAAGTTTGCATGCAAACTAGGTGATTTGTCATTATTATTATTATTATTATTATTATTATTATTATTATTATTATTATTATTATTATTATTATATGTTTCAATTTTTTAAAAAGATGTCAAAGAAGATATTTGAGGCTGTGAGAGATGAGAACAGACTAATGTTTTGATAACTGACTAGTAACTACAATGGCAGGTTTCATGGCTCTAACTGAAGAGTTTAAAAGAACTAAAAACTACATGATTAACAATATTATTTGTAGTGCTGAAGAAGCTATTGTATAGCGTAAACTTAAAGTTTAAAATAGTTTTAGTTTCAGTCTTCATAATTGACTCATGTTGGTGGTAGATCTTATCTAGTGCCGTCACCTGATTGTTATAGTTTTCCCTGAGTTTTAGCGTCTCTGGCAAAATGAGGATTAAATTTTATTGATTCTCAGTTATTAGCTTAATACAAAATTGTACATTACATGTGTGAGTGTATGTGGAGTATGTACTTGAAGATATCTCTGTGGATAGCATACTACCAGCTCGTATTATTACTATATTAAAATCGTTTTTCAGCATGCTAACTTTGAAACACATGGGTCTGAATACTTTTCTTTGTCATGCATTAGATCTCTTTAAGTCACAATGGAGCATAACACTTTGGAATAATCTTATATTTCCTTTGTTTGTTGGAATCAAATATCCTGAATGTTCTCTATTTTTGATAAAGTGGGTTTTCCCATGAAGCCTTTCATTTATGTCCTTTATTTGTAAATAAGTTTTCCTGGGACTCTCATAAGCTGAGAGACGTATGGAAGAGTAGGCAGCTACAGATGAGGTTGTGAATGAATTTATCAGTGAAATTTTTGCCTCTTTGTATCATTTGTTGTTATTTTTTATGTTGTAATGTAAACTGTGGCATCTTTTTGCTTCTGATGGGGACTGATTAACCATAAGCAGCAGCTCTTGCTTTTGATGCCAGAGTATGTGATGTGTTATGTTCAAACAAGCGTGCTTGATTAGTGACTTCAGATTTTACTACACATTTTTGTGTTTTTGTGTTTTTTGCTTACTTGATCCTAATGTGGGTAAGTCTTGCATGTAGTAGTTTCTTGTTTTTGTTTTTTTTGGTTTAAACTGAGGACCTAATCCTGAAAAATCTAATGTGAACATTGCCCAAAGTAAAGATAACTTGGCTGTCAAAAGTTGCTGAAGGACAAATCTTGGATGGAAGGTACTTTGTAACAAAATTAGAAACTACCAGAGACCTGGCCCAAAACTTTTTAAAAAACCATCATTAAGTCAATAGTAAATTTGAAAATGACACGAAAGATATCCTTGCCCTAGGCTCTCTTTTGGGAGTACAAAGTACAAAATGGCCATATATAGCCTACATACATAACAGTTAAGAACACTGTGGGTAGTAGCAAAAAGTGTAATCGAACATACTCTACCAATCACCTTGTTCAAGACAATCACATGTACAAATGACCTCTTCCCACTCACCTCCCCCCCACCCCCACGTGTATTGTTCTATTACAATGGCACTGTCCCAGAGGACCACCTGTCTAAAGTGACCACTTTTCTCTTCGACAATGGGTGGCTGTTTTCTTTTGGTTACCCCCGATGTCTAACAAGGGGAATACGGAAAAATATAGATGTTTAATAGGTGTTTAGTTAGTTTCAGTTTTCTTGAATTATATTGTTTGTCATGGCTTGTCTGTGTGAACTCCTGGGTTAGACTGGTTAAAGATAAGATTGCCTATTTAAAAAAAAAATTAGTTTCCACATAATTTCACACCTTCTTCATAAATGTTGGCCACCCACTCATTTATGCTTGCTTTGTGCTTTGTCTCAAACTCGAGTATAAGTAAACCTGGAATGAAATGTTAGCTGTTTGTATGATGGTACAGATTTTGATTATGTTCAAAAGAAGATATTAAGATTTGTTGCACATATAATTGAGGGTCAAAGAAGAATCTCTAGATCTACCTTGCAACTATTACATATGTACAAGTTAGTTTTTTGGTAGGTTTTTTGTTTAACAAATGCTTATTGGAAATACAATGTAGGCCTATTGTCTTTGATTAAAGTATTTTATTAACATAAAACGTTTTTATTCTCTTCTTTTTTTTCTATACTGGTGTCTTTGAACAGTTAAGTACTTTGTTGTTTCACTCAGAAGACATGAGTTAAATTCCTGTACGCGAAGAAATTTTATCTCAGTCTTTCTGTTGGAATGTCGTGTCCCTTTCAACTTGGGTCGGCCCTGACAGGCAGAGTTGGAGTAGCCTGCCTTGAAAGTAATGATCTAAAAGGTGTTGATGGGGGCATCAGCAATCTACAATTACAATAGATAATACACTTGTATCAGTAGCTCGGTTTGAGCACCCTTTTAAGCCACATATCATCTTGTTGCCACAGGGATTAAATTATGTTACTTTTGTCTCTCCCTTTGACAAAATGTTTGCATGCTGTTTACAATCTCAATCAGTTACTAATGACAACACTTTAACAAGGAAAATACTTTATTACCATTATTTGATTATACATGTAGTCAGATTGGGAAAGGGGAGGGGGGGTGTTGGGGTAAACATTTAGGGTCTAAGATCGTTTATAACCAATCACTTTGATGTAAAGAACAACATTCTATATTGTACCTGGATTCCTGGAAGTGTTATATCTGACTCAATGTCGACGTGAGTTATGACCCTCCAGTGCTCACGAGTCACAGCCACCAGGCCGTTCCACATTGTGGCATACCCAGGCCGTACCTGGGCCAGTTCATGGCCTGTATAGTGAAAGACCTTTTCATAGGCGCTGCTTTATTTAAACAAGTTCATGTAACAGGGTGAAAACATTTCTTATAAAAACAACATGTACTTTTGCAGTCTTTAATATTATATTACCTTTACTCGATTGGTAATTAGATTCTTAATCAAATTATTTTTTTCAGCTGACACTAGAGAACAAATCTTTTAAGAAAAAGAAAACTTAGACCTCTGCTGAAGATAAAAGCAAAGGAAAGAACTCTTTTATGTAGATCACCATCGCGCTTCTCGCGTTTAATGAGGACTTCAATTCTTTTAATTGTCATATCGGAATTTTCTCACATTCGTTCTCCCATTTTCTTTTGGAGATCGAATTTCGAGTGTTGAGCGACCATCGCTGCTTCCATTTCGAACTGTAACTCTATGGTTCCCGACAGTCCCAGTTTCTCCCTTGTAGCGTCCATTGATCGGCTTTCTGTTGCTTGGGTTGAAACGGTTGAAATCTCTCCGGGCATTGTTCATTCCTCCCTTCCTGCAAAGTGTAATGTGATGTTGCTTAATTTACTGGAGTGCTGAGAAAAGCAAAAGCATTGATACATTAATTTCACAAGCGTCTGACCGAATCGGAATAGAATCTTAATTAAGTAATTAAAATTAGGCGTTTCTCTCTGAGGCACATGGTTACACAACCAAATCACAAGACATGACCTTCCCACAGAGACACTCGCTCTTCCTTTAATTGTTGACACAATAACAAAAATAATAGTATTATGGCAGTCGCACACTTTCTCCGTCTCCTGTCGGTTTACCATTGTCATACCTATTCCCTAACCAGGTAAAGATCACATAAATCCACCCAATCAATTGTTGCTGCGTGAATGCTGCATAATCTGTACTGTAAATGGCATTATTTTAATGTTTATAGAATTTGTGTTGATAGACCCTTTGCCGTTGCTCGCAGGAGATGCGAGTTCAATTCTCCCTAGTGAAATGGTTTTTAAAATTCATTTATCCATTTCCCCCCCTCCTAATTGTTTATTGAGTATCTTAACCTTCTAACGGGGATCATGTACGTCCCATCCAGTCTGGGTTGGCCCCAACTGGCAGGGTCGTAGTACATGTGCTTCGCTCCCTTACCTAAAATGCCGATTTGGGCGTAAAACTTTTACGAAGAAAAAAATGGAAAGGAAAACCTAGTTATGTACTATAGGCGTACTGTTACCGAAGAAGTCAGGGTGACTCTTGGGGACAAGTTTTCAGCGCCACTCACTTGACATATTGTGTCGTTCTTCGAGCCCCGCTAAAGGTCGTCCGGAACCGCCTGGCACCCGTGAACAGGGCCCTGCCGGCTCGAAAGGCTAAGCCGATCCAGCGTTTTCTTCTCACTTCCCCAGTCTTGCTGCTTCTGCTTAGAACTAGCTTCTTGGATGCTTCAATGTCTGAGGAGAAACATGTAAAAATACGTTTCTTTCTTACTTGTTAAAAACAAACAGACAAACAAACAAACAAAACTCACCGCAAACAAAAAATCCCATTCCATGAACGCATCTAAAGCTAAAATATTTTATGCATAACGTGTTGCAACCATAGTTATGATTTACTTGGTGGGTATCAAAATCAATGTACCTTGATACCTGGATATATGGATGTATCATTTCTGGCTCAGAGGTTGACGTGCAACAGTGACCCGTCATTGCTTATGGTCGTTAGCTGCCACTACACTTGGTGACTTCCCCAACGCTTGAGTGACATATTGGAAGCTGCCTACCCCCCCCCCCCATTTTTTCTCATCGATGTTTTACAGTAAAATCCATACAGAAACGTGATTTTTAATGGACATAGAATATGTTGAGACGGAAGAAAAAAATAGGTAAAAAAATTGAGTGGCGGGCGGAAAAATGTTGTTTTTTTCGATTAATTATTACATGTATTTCTTTTCTTTTTTTTTTTTTGACGAGCGCCTGATTTCACCACGATATCCCGTACATGTAGTATTAGTGTCTCTCAACACACGAGAAAGAAGCCGTTCATATTTTTATGATTTCAACAACCATACCTTGGGGCGTCTTATTAAAAGAGCGATAAGAAGTGGCAGCAGGAGTCACAGTATAAAGGCCTACCTAGCTGTGGGATGAGTACTCTGTCGTCCTCATTCAAAAGTTCGTCAAGCTCTTCAGGAGACAGAAGTTTGACGGGGATTCCGTCTACCTCTGTGTCCGGACCGACACCGTCTACCGAAGGCAGATCCTCTCGTTTCTCCACCAAGTCAGAGGTGGCCTGTGAGGCCAGTAGACAGGCGCCGAAGAGAAAGAGTAGCTTCATAGTGGGAGTCATTGGTGACGTGGTCGTAGAGCCTTGGTTGATGTCGCTCCAGATAGATGGACAATGTTCAAGATGAGACGTACCTCTCAGACTTTCACCCCGGAGTTTATATACTCTTTCTCATCTCTAGGTGTTAAATTGTCATTAGTCGACCACAATGTCAGAATCTCCCCCCCCCCCTTCCTCCTTTCGACACTTGCCACGAAGGCGAGTGAAAAGCACACAATTATAGGCACCATTGCCTCTGTTTCTGCAATCTTTTGTCTGTAGTATGTCAGCCCGTGATAGTACAATGGAAATAGAACTTTGCCTATTAATATGACCTTATTTCATGATTGCTTCTTGATTACATGACGATTATTAAACACCTGCAAATCGTAACAAAAGTGTGATATGCAAGGGACACAAAAATGATATTCTGTAATGTACTGCATTGTCTTTTTACCGTGCTTACTTTGCAAATGTTGCGCTTGAATGATGAGGGCTGATGCAAGATAACTGCTGCCTCACGGAACAATTTCCGTGGTCAGTGGTGTGTTGGTTAATCTTTTAGCCATTGCACCCGAGTGTCACTTTGATATCCACATTATTTTGTCGAGTATCTCCGCTTGTGGTCTCGGATGCTGTATCTAATTCAACCAGTAGGCTATTGGCCTCGACAGACTGGGGGCCGAGCAGCCTGTCTTTTATTCTTCAAATTTTATCTTTGGAGACGTTCAAAATTTTAATAATATGGGGCTCGGGCTCATGATTCCCACTCGGCATATGAGAGCCCAATATCTGGCGTCACCAGGGTATCAGCCCAATGTCATTGGATGACCCTAAGGCTGGCGGGAGCCTTTGAACTCTTTATATTGTGAGGATTCACGCCCAAAACTACCTGATAGGTCAAAGGCGACCCAAGGGCTGACGAGTAACGGGTTTTTTAAAAACCTGTACGTCTACAAGGTCCTTGACGCATACAGCTTAGCTTCTTATCTGAATTTACTTAAATCTAAATTAGCCAGAGCTGTTAATGGTTACTACCGTACTTATTTTCCCCTCCGCATGGCAATCACACAAGACGGATCTAGATGAGACAAGACTGGCCACAGTTTGTCCCTAGTCTCTACCAGTCTACCACTACCACTAGGCAAGTTGGCAATCAGTGGTATCCCGTAATACTGCCAGCCCCCCACTGTACCGTCAACCTTATGTTCGTCCCAAGGTAGGCGGTATGACGAGGTTTGGCTGTACTTCCTGAAGAGTGGATTTTCATGGATTTTTTATTTCACAAACTTGAATACTACCTCAGAAAAAAATTCATTAAAAATGTCCTAATTCGTTTGGGAAAAATTCAATGTTTTTTTTAAAGATCTATTGTTTGCTAGTGTGCATGAGAAAAATATATTTCCATGAAAAATAAGTGCGGTCTTCATTTCGTAAGACATGTCAACAAAATCCAATATGGCCGCCGTATCCATGATAACGAAACGTTTTTTTCTCAAACTTGATTGCAGATTTTAAAACTTCTTACTATGCTTGATATATGTGTGAAATTTGATACACGTTGATCCACTAATAAGCGAGATACCCTTCTGGTGTACCCCCCTCCCCCCTCCCCCCTTAAACATACGTATACGGATTAGCTCTTGCTTTTGATGCCAGTATAATATGTGATTTGTTCAGTTCAGAGAAGCATTGTTGATGGGTAACTTCAGAGTTTACTACACAATCTTTGTAGATTTCTCTGTTTGTTTTGTTTGTTTGTTTGTTTGTCTGTTCGTTTGGTTGGTTGGTTGGCTGGTTGGTTGTTTGGTTGTTTGATTGTTCGTTTGGGTTTTTTGTTGTTGCTTGTTTGTTTTGCTCTCTTGCTCCTAGTTCAGGTAGGATCTTACATAATATGGTCTTTTTAATTAAGGACCAAATCTTGGAAAATCAAATGTGAATTTTGCCCAAATTAAAGATAACTTGGTTGTTGAAAGCTGGCGAAGGTAAAAAAACCTCTGAAGGCAGGCTGCACAACAACAAAATTCAACTTTATCCAAGAACTGGCCAAAAAACTGCGAAAACAAGTTATCATAATACAATATGGTATGGAAAAGAGTACATTAATTGATAATGACATGAAAGACATCACTACATTCTGGTTCCGAGAGAGGAAAAAAATTGCAATTTAATTTACGATACAACAATCGACAGTGCTACTCGAAGTGTAAGTGTTGCCGAAGCTCCCTCTCTACACAGTGCACGCTGTGTATCGAATTCATTCGATCAAATTGAGTCGGTGCCAACAAGATGCCAACAAGATATTCTTCCTTGGTTGGGGGGGGGGGGGGGGCAAAAGCTGCCATCGCGGCACAATTTGAACGAATTCGAAGGTGACGTTCAAAATCAGACGCGTTTGTTTTCAAAGCAGTGAGCCGAACGATGGGTTTGTGTACAGCTAATCAAACCACTGAACTGGGTGGTTTCTATTTTTTCCGTTATTATTATTATTATTATTTTTGTTGGGCAAGTGTTTTACGGCGACCACCAAGGGATTTTGAACATGCGCAACTTGCACTTCGCCCCTGCAGGTGGGGGACCCCATAGTTTTACTATGGTGTTCTGGCCACCCGAAAAGTGACAGTTTGCGGAGGGCCAGCTACCTGACCCGTAAAAAAAGGAATGTTATAGAAACACGAACAAATATTATGCCTTATAATTTTTCCAGCTTGGGAGACGGAGGAGCTTCTACATCAGCAGGAACAATGAAGGATAGCGGACAAAGCCGAAAGGACTCTTCTGACCCGAAACCTTCTCTGTCGAACAAGTCTTTCCGGATTGCGTCGTGGAATGTTCGCGCCATGTATGAAGCAGGAAAGAGTTCTCAAGTGACACAAGAGATGAAAAGATAGAAGAGCCTGGGAAATGGATGTACGGAAAAGTGGGAAGACATGGAGTGACATCAAGCGACTAGCCCAGGATAGGGAAAGAAGGAGAATGTTTGTTCGTGGCCTATATCCTGACCCAGGGTGAGAAAGGCAATGAGGATGATGAACTTGTACATGGACCTCCGAGATTTTTCACCCTTATCCGAGAAGGCTAGGTGTTAGATCTAACCAACCATAAGGTCAGTGGTGTGGCTGAAAGACAGCAGTAAAAAGTAGCCAAGGAGTAGCAGTAGAAAGGCTGAAGAAAGAGTGAGGGTCTCAGAGGAGGAGGTAAAGGAGGTGACCGGGGGGGGGCAGAAAGGGGAGACGAAAACAGATGACAGAACATTGTTAGAGAGTAGGAAAGGAAGAGAAAGGGGAAAATGTTAGGGAAGAAAATTTTCCGACGCTGTCTGGATTCGAGCTAGGGATCTATTGAAAGAGAGGCGAACACCCTAACCTCTCGACCACGAGAGCCCCATGAACAAGGTGTAGCCTACGAGTCATTTCACAATCGTGACATTGCAATGTCAAGGTCGGCCTTTTGCGCAGAATGCCATAAGTATAAGTCTATCAAAATCAAATTGATCTCGAGAAGATCATCGAGATCTACAAATACAAATCGTTCCCATGTTTGTGGGATGCCAGGATTCCGCTACTTATCTGTCCCCGTCGTTTTATGCAAGAAAAATTATGAAATTATGCAAACTGAGCCAAAAAAATGTGAAACTATGCTATTCAGCTAATTTTTTTTTTTACAGAGAATGATGAAGGAAAATAATCAGAAATAATGCAAAAAATGATCAAATTTTGCTAAATTATGCGGGGTGCATAAAACCACGGGGACAGACTTATACTTGGGTTTCTTAAACAAATCCGTAGATGTAGGTATAGTGCGCTCAGTTTCACATAAGCCATTATGCTGCAGAGGTAATGACTGTGAAATGACCGAGACAGCAGCATGTTTTTTTTTCTCTTTACCATGTGTGCCTGTTTGGTGTCATACCTTTTCTGCCTGGGAGGTAGGCAGGTGCTCCTGTGTGATTTGCTCCTTCCTTTCTATCAAACACATTTCGTCTTTATCTCTCCTTTTCTTTGCATTTTACTGACATCTTGAAATGCCTCATGTCTTCGGCACTTGTATCAACTACGAGTATTTTATAAGTGCCATGAAACTCTAATCAAAACTAAAATTAAACCTTTGCTGTGATGATATATGTGTATTTACTCAACTCTATTTAAATATAATATGTGAAAATAATCCTGTTCGGTTTGTATGGGAAGATCGCTATTTATCGGACAGTTTATTTGTAATAGAGTTTGGCTGTGTGCGAGTCAAAGAGATAGAGTGAGGCTGTAGGCCTACGTTTTTTAAAATGCATGCTCGTGTGCTTTGAAGTGTGTGTGTGTGTGTGTGTGTGTGTGTGTGTGTGTGTTTGTGTGTATGTGTGTGTGTGTGTGTGTGTGTGTGTGTGTGTGTGTGTGTGTGTGTGTGTGTGTGTGTGTGTGTGCGTGTGTGCTAATAATATAATAATATAGGCCTACCGATTTTTAAAAAGAAGTCCACGGTTCGAGACAAAACATTTCACGCAAGATCTGCATGTAGGCCCTACTTTTGTAATCTTTATTTTACAGCTCATACTGGATCGTTAGTCAGATTTAAATCAAGTTTATTTTCAGCAGACGCGGCAGAGAACTTTAGAAGAGAAGAAAACTTAGATATCTGAGAAAAGCATAGAAAAATGTTGTTTTTGTTGCTATCACGCTTCTCACGTGTAACTATGGCTTCGGTTCTAATCATGTTATCAATAGGCCCTATAAATTATATTATATTTTTTGGTGAAAGTTGGTCACTTTGGTCGCCTAAAACTTCCGAGCGGCTTAATTTTCGAATTAGAAAGAAAAAAAATCAGTTCTGAACATTAAGAAGTCTGAAGTCACTAGAATCTAGTAATTTAATTTTTATTTTTTCATTAGTTTCGTTTAGATCTAATCTTGGGAAAGTCCGTCTTCTTAGACACCGTCATAAGCAAGTGAGGCTTCCGTTCACAAGGAGTGCGCACTGGTTCACAATGACTTGACGATCGATTCTTTTGAGTTCGTTCATCGAACGGGGTACCC